TATATATATGCATATATATATATGTTTTATACATATATTTTATTTATTAATGCATTGATTTATATATTTATATTCAAGTATATCTATTTATTTATTCAAACATTTATATTTATATATACTATTACATGGATTTATATATTTAGACGAAGATATATTTATATTTATATTTATATTTATATTTATATTTATATTTATATTTATATTTATATTTATATATTCAATACCAGGTTTCGCGCAGACTTTCGGGAGATTTCTTGCAAAAAAAGCAAAATAAACTGCAGCGCATGCAGTAAACCCTAAACCCTAAACCCTAAACCCTAAACCCTAAACCCCAAACCCTAAACCCTATGCCCTACACCGTAATCCATAAAGCCTAAACCCCGAACCTTAAACCCCAAACCCTAAACCCTAAACCCTAAACCCTAGTTGAGCTAACCATAACGCTTTGTTTTTCGTTGTGAGGGACGTTCATGAAGAGCTGCAAAGAGGGAGCAGAGACAGACGAAAAGAAATTGTTCTTTTGTTTGAATGCACAACAAAAGGATATTTTTATAATAGTTGTTTTGTTTATTGTTGCTGCTTAGTTGATGCATTAAAAGGCCTCGGGCTGCTGCTGCTGCAAACCCTTCAAGAAACTTCTAACAACTAATACCCTAAACCCTAAACCCTAAACCCTAAACCCTAAACCCTAAACCCTAAGGCGGGGTAGTTGCAAGAAGCCTCACTGTCTTCATTTCCGATATATAGCGGCTTCTCCCGCCCCCTGCCGCTGCAGACAAACCTCCACCCCTAAACCCTAAACCCTAAACCCTAAACCCTCGCCCCAGGAAGACCGCATTTTAAACATTGCCAGTGTTCGACTCATTCCCCTGTCATTCCGCCCAACCCTAAACCCTAAACCCTAAACCCTAAATCCCCCAGACCCTAAACCCTAAACCCTAAATCCCCCAGACCCTAAACCCTAAACCCTAAATCCCCCAAGCCCTAAACCCTAAACCCTAAATCCCCCAAACCGTAAACCGTAAACCCTAAACCCTCAGCGATGGAGTTACCTGCTGCTGTAGCCATGGCAGCAAATGCAGAGGGCCCGAAGAGAGGCGTCTCTAAGCCTTCAAGAAAGAGACGAAAGGCTGAGGAGACAGCTGGTGTGTCTCTCCAGTCTGCTGTGGGGTTGCCGCTGTCTATGTCTCCAACAAAAGCATAGATGCTTCTGCAGTTAGACTGCAGCAGCAGCAAATCTTTTGTTTCTATGTTTGCTGCTGTTGATAGCCAATATCTAAACTCTAATAATATAGAAGGGATTGAAGATAATGAAGAAGAGACATATTGTCCTGTGCGTGTTGCTAGAAACCCTAAACAAACCCCAAAAACATTTAATGTTGTCTCTGAAGAACTTCTTCTCTCTTCTTCGACTTGCACGCAGTAAGGAAATAATCTGCAAATGCATTAAAATACAATAACCCTCATTCATATTAAATCACCAAATAATCCTAAACCCTAAACCCTAAACCCTAAACCCTAAACCCTTCACACCTCTGCCGAAATAACTCACACACACACTGCCTACATATATATATATATATATATATTATATATATTATATACATAAGATATATTATATATTATATATTATATATTATATATTATATATTATATATTATATATTATATATTA